CATGTACACTGCTAAAGTCCTAGCTAGTAACCTTTATCGCCTTACCAAAATGTCGCCAAACTACCTGTTACCATATTCCAAAGATTAGCCAAAAAATCTATAATCATCGCCAAGCGTAATGTTAGCAGAAAAGGTAGCCTTACTCTTGTTATTCAATTACTAATATAAAAAAAAGTTTAGACATCACTGCATGAGTTATTACTGAAGCTGTCATGTATTGTTTAACATGCGGTGTTGAAAGCTAAATATAATAAATAATGACTTGCCAGGTCGGCGTTAGGGATATAGAATAGGTGAATGTTTCAGTTTGAGAAGTAATGCCAAGCAGACACTCAGCTGCAGAGCCAAATTATTAATCTCACAAATTTATGCTTATGTGATTGTTTTTCATAACGATGTATTTTATTTAGTGCTTAAGTGAAATTAAGAATCGGAATTTTTGAGTGAAAATCTCCACACATTTTATTATGGAAGGAAAAATCAAATGCGCATGCATAAAGCATACAAAAAATTTTTTTTTTGGCTTTGAGGTCGGGATTTTAGATTATTCCGGATAATGGACATCCGGATTTCGGACTTTGTACTGTACTACGCAGTTCTGGCCTGTCCGGAAAATAGCTACTAAGTAAAACTTTGTTTACACATCAGTCAATTAATGCACTTTTCCCCTTTTGTTCCAAATTGTACTGAAACTTCAAATTAATCTTACTACAGCCATTGTACTGTCTAAACAATGAAACAAGCAATGTACTTCCTAAGCCACACACGTCACAAAAGCCATTGCAAAATATCCCATGATTCAAAATTTTGCGGACTAATGCAAACGATTGCGCCATAATAGGGTTTCCATAACATTCAACTACTCAGGTTACCATAAATGATACAACTTGGTGGTAAATGAAACAACAACATCGCGATAAATGAAACAACAACATCGCGATAATACAAGGTTACCCTAAAGTCAACTCTAACCATGAATAAAAAATAGAAGCTAAGCAGAAACAAAAGTATTTTAAAAAAAAAGCAGCTTGATGAAGATTTCAAGTAAAACTCAAAAATGGGACAACAAAAAGGTACTGTATAAACATTTCGTAAATTTATATGTATAAACAAAGTTATATTCATAGATTAAATTATCACAAATTGTTAACAAGTAATATATAAAATTCATTATTAATTTAACAAAGGTAAATCCTATTTGATATCTATGTTCTTTAACATCACAAAATTATTTTGCAGTTGGTTAACATACAAGTACTAATTTCATCAACGGAAGTATGGTCATAAACTTCATTGTTTATTTGAAATACAAAATTTTACCTGCCATTTCAAGATTTAAATTTGGTTTTGAGTTGAACTTAGGTGTAACATGCAGCTCAGTTGTGGAAGGATAAAGAAATTAAATATGATGTTAATTTCCTTTTCTGCATAGATTGTTTATCATTTAATTAATCTGTTTAAATGGATTACAGTAAAAAGTCCAAAATTCGGATGTCCATTATGCAGAAGGATGTAAGATCTGCACCTCCACACCATCAAGCAAAAATAATAAATAAATAAATAAAAATAAATAAAAAATAAAATAAAAACAAGTAAAGAAAACAATAAAAAAACCCTCCCTATTAAATATTGGAATGAAGAATATACATAATAACAAAAGGAGGCTGGTTAACTGCAAATGGGATTTTTCTGTGGGCTAACACAGATTCATTCATGCCACTTGCAAATACCTGCTGGCTAGGGAATTGCATTGTAATGACATTGTATTGATATTGCTTTCATCACACTTTTGGTCTTTGAGTGGCTATGTGTGATGGGAGTTCAGAGCTGAACGTTTAATATTTTACTGTCTGGTGCAATTTCTGTGGGTCCTAAATCATGTTACCTCTTACCTCCCTAAATTCTAAAAAATTTACTGCTACCATTTATTCTAAATTCTACTGCCTATTGCCTCTCTTAAAATCTAAAAATTCTGTGATCCATAATGTTTGCTATTTGCTGCTTCTCTAAAGTCTGAAAAATTTGGCACCCTTAAATTCTGACACTCAGTTCAGCCACTCCAGTTGCACTAGGTTTGGCACCAACACCATGGAGGATTAATGTTTTTCTATTTTTCTGTCTGACTTAACAATAAATGCATCAAAATATTGCCTTGTCTACACATCATTATACTAGATTTAAGCTAATGGTCTAAAATACAGAATTACTTCTGATTCCAGATCTCAGATTTGGTACTTTAGTTCCTTTTTTTACTATCAAGATTTTACCATCTCAAATAATTCATTTATATGCATAGATGTAGGTTTTGACATCCTTCTCATGCCTATTTATAATTCCTTTTGGATTAAATATTTTCCATTTTGTTGTGTTTTTTATTTCATGCATTTTAAGAGTGTGTCTGTATTTGTGTACACATAATCACTGTTTTACAGATTTCTTTGTGTTTTTTTATAACAGGTTGTCCAAAATGTTTATGGCATCTATATAAAGCAAAAACCTATTGGATGTCTAACAACATTTATTCAGTGTGCCATTCATACTCACCAATCATATGTTCCCTTATGGTCTGGAAAAACATCTATAGTTTTTTCTACTGGCAGCAGAACATGACAACTTTGTCATCTAGAAACAAACACAAGAAATCACTTCATTATCCAACTCAAAGTTTCAACCATTAAGATACTGCTTCTAATTCGAAAACATTCATAGAAATGAAATCGGTGATAGTGTAGGTGATTAAGCATTTTGAAAAAGCAGCCATCCATAATGTTGGGGGCATTGCCATTGTATACTGGGCAGCAGTGCTCTTCCCATATGAGTTTGCCACTCTGTTTCAACTTCAAGGATAAGTACAGTTGGCCAACCAGCTCGGTGCAGTTCATGGTCTATGCTTTTGGCAGTCAGTTGGGCATCACCTCCTCCCTGTCCAGGAAACAGTTTAGTAGCAGTCTGCCAGCAGATTTCTACTTTCAGAGTCAGGGGAGTGTCTTCTTGCCAGTTTTCTTCCAAGCTTTCAACCTTGGACAGCAGATCATAATGATGAATCCATGACTCGTCAGCCATCACTACTAGACTAAGAAAATTCAGAGATCTAAGCAGCCAAGAACAATATTTCACTTGGTCAGCTCACTGAGTTGGTGCCAAAATTTTGGTGATCCAGTAGGTACTTGAAAGGATACTATCTGTTGTGCTATTTGAAATGCTCAACATGGCTGCTACATATCACACAAAAATTGATCAGTTATCAGTGACAATATGCTCAACAGTAGCCATTATTTTGTAGGTCAATCCATCTGGGGAGAAGCATTTTTGATGGAACTATATCTCCCCATGTTTGAAAATGTTGACTCGTTTGACAATCATACTATAAGTAGGAGAATCTTCACCTATCATACCATGAAGTTGACTTTGGTTGGGACTATAACTTTTCAGCATAAAGAACTTGATGATTGAATGTGTATCATTTTGATTCATTTTTTCTGAAATGGGAAAATGGGAAAGTTAATCACTAGTAAGGTGGAAAAAATTAAAATGAAACATCTGTAGACTAAGAAAAACATGCTATTTCTAATGCACTAAAGCTTTCCAATTTTGGAACTATCTTTATGCAGATTTCTACAATTTTTTTTTTTTTTTTTTCCCACAGCATGGTAGAATTCTGCACCTTTCAAACTTTATATATATATATATATATAAATACAATTTTTTATATATATATATATATATAAATAATATATATATATATATATATATATAAATTGTAGAAAGCTCGCCTAAAAGTTACTTTACTGCTTTGCTTGATAAATTATATATATATATTTTCATATCAGTGTTTTTTCATCTGTACAGTATGTCTGTTTTCAGCTTGTCAGTTTTTAAACCCGTAGGATAAGGATGGCTGATTTTTTTCTTAATCTTCAGAGTGGCACATATTTTTGGATTTCTTTTTTGAATCTTCAAAAAAGTTTATCTACTAGGTTTCTCTTATATATATATTTGTGCTTTTATAATTTTCTATTAATTAGATAACAGCTAGATTATTAAATAAGATGAGAATTCAAAATATTTTTATAAGATAGTATAATACAACTAAGCATATACAAACTTCTGGAAGAAGTAGATTGCATAAAGTCCAATCGGAATTATATAACAGTGCAGGGCTGAAAATGCCATTTTCGTATGTAAGATTATAGAGAGGATAGGAAATGAAAAAGCAGCATGTAAGAGAACAAAAAATGTTTTATTACAGAAGCTGTTCAGAGTTGTGACCCTGTGTTGTAAGAGATATCTGATATCATAGACACATGGAATCATGTGCATTAAGTCCAATCAGAATTATATAACAGTGCAGGGCTGAAAATGCCATTTTCCTAGGTAAGAAAGAGTACAGAGAGGATGGGAAATGAAAAAGCAGCATGTAAGAGAACAAAATGTTTTTATTATGTTTTTATTACAGAAGCTGTTCAGAGTTGCGACCTTGTGTTGTAAGAGACATCTGATATCATAGACACATGGAATCATGTGCATTTTTTTTAAAGTTTTCATTTATTTTTTGTATCTAGAGTTGTATTTACAAGGTCTCTCATCATTTTCAATGAGGTTGTCATTTACTTATCCTTTGATGTAATTTGCAAAGAAATAATCAAGGCATGTTAAATGAACTTGGCCATCATACTCCTTTGCAGATGATTTTAAGATAATGGTTATTCTGAAAGATCGTATGAACATTCTCATGGCTGAAGAACACCATATAATGCATGAAGGTAGGGTTTCTGACTGCTATATGATACTAATTTTTTTTTAGTACAATCTGCCCTTCTCAGAAGTTTGTGTACATTTAGTTAAATAACCCGGTATACCAAGCAATAGCAAATCTGATGACCAGAAGAAAGTGTATTATTGTAAGTTTTTATAATATAGCAATATTTGTGAAGCCAAGTTTGTATGAATGAATGTGTATGAAACTAAGTAACTATTAGATATTGCCTTTCTCATTGTAGAAAACATATGGACAGTGGTGGAATAGTTTACCATCTAGTCGTAGAATAGTTAGTAATCTTCCAAATGGTACATTTGCTGAAAGTCAAGATTTTATTGGTAAGAAGACATAAAGCAATATTAATGTATGTTTAGATATCTGTTATCCATAAAATGTGTGAGTGAAAAGCAATTTCTTTAAATTATTGAATATTTTGATATTTTTTAATTATATACATCCTCTCCCAGATAGTCACCAACTGTTAGCAGCTAATTTTTTGCCAAGCTATGAAGCAAAAGGTAACAGGCATTTTTAAAAAAATGGTGATGTACTAAGAATTGCATAAAACAGCAACCAATTAAAAAAATTTACAAGTAATATCCATAATAAATTTTATTTTCTTACATTTTCCTCATATACACAACAATCTGTTTTCACTGAAAAAAAATAATAATAATAAATAAATAAATAAATAAATAAAAATCACTACAAAAAATTTCGATCTATAAAATTCAATCATTTGTGAAGTACAGCATCATGGAATGCAAATTTTTGCGATCCCTATTGTTAGAGAGAAATGCAACCAGCAAATCAACCAACAAATTCTACATTACCATTACAACACTTTATGAGAGAGAAATCAATCAATTTTATGCTCCCTTCCTGCGAACTTAATGCAACTAGGGATGACACCCGCAATCAACCTCCGTATCAGGCGGGAGGGCCGGACATGTCCTGCACGTTCCCCTTAAAGAGATTAAACTAGACTTTTTGCTACGCAGGGGTGCCTCAAATCCCTGGCAGACTTATTATAAGAACTCTCTCTCAATCCTCCGGGGCTGAACCGGGCCACCGGATGTTTACACACCACGGGTCTCGAGACCACCCCGGAGGGAGGACCTCTACAGACCTATGTCAATTTGGCGATCTGACCGGTCGTGGATGCGCCCCGCCAGTACTACGCGGCTGCCCGTCATTACCCGGAATACGCAGTCTGTCTGCGCTACCAGATCCTCCGGTTCTGGGACTTACGCAATCCCCTTCGGTCCGGCCATACAGACGACCTTCCCTCAGGTTCTGGAACCGCCAAGCTCAAAATGCTTTTCCCCCAGAGTACTCTGTCAGGATATAGGATCCAGCCAGTTGCACCCAGGGGGTTATGAGAGGGTAAAATGTATTTGAATACAAGAAAAACAAACACTTATCAGAAAAAGGATTAACAAATTTAAAGGCAGAAATCAGCTCTCATCTGCTTTGCACATGCTGTTATATCTGAAAAATTTTATGTTTTTAATACTTTTAATTTTAAACTTCACGGATTCATGGTGCCGGACAAAAATTTACAAAAAAAAAAAAAAAAAATCAAATAATTCAAAACATTCAAAATCTATTTCATAATATTCATATATCATATCGACATTCTTATAAACATTAAAACAAATCTAATTCATAATAGTCAAAAGATGAATCAAATAAACAATCGTATATCATATCTATCAATCAATCGTATAGTGGTAGTACAATCTAACTTTTAGGTTTGCGTTGTGAGTAACCTATGTAAAAGGAAATATCAATAACTCCAAATTCAATTAAACTCCATGTTTCTTAAAAGCCTCCCGGCTCAAACAAATGGAGAGACATGACAGACCACAGTAAAATATACTCAACATAAATACACAAATACTATTAAATTCTAAACACACATTTATTAAATTCTTGACTATTTTATATAATTAAATAATGAATAACTGATCAGTAATACAATTTTTTCTAAGCAAGATAACACATAATACTACACCAAATTACAGCTTACATAATTAAGATTAACAATTATTTTTTTTTTTTTTTTCAAATTAGTAGGTGTAACAAAATTTAATCCTCCAAATAACAGGTTCTTTATTATATAGAAAGTAACATTTTTCTAGCTCACAAATTCAGTATGTGAAATAAATTTAATCCTCCCAAAATGGCCTTCACTTGAAATTATAAATAACTTCTCAATTTTTCTAACTGTACTATTTAATTTATATAAGTAATAACAATATACTGGTAGATAAATCATTATTAACTATTCTGCATTCGGGAATACTAAGAAAGAGAGAGAGAGACAGAGGAAATATACTTAAAAATTTCACTCACAGATTTAAAACAGTTTTTCCTGATTGGCCAGGATCCTTAGTGTCCAATCCACATGGAAATAAGCCAAGCCCATTTTCTTGGAAATTACAGTCTAATAATTCTTCAAACAGCCAGCATCGCTTTAACTGTCCATTAGGTGGGAACCAATAGTCAATTGAGAAGGATCTTTTATCTGTAAATAGGTGGGAAACCAATAGTCCAATTCAGAAGGATCTTTTTTCAATTCAGTAACAGGTAGCTGACTATACACAGTGTTTTAGCACAGTCACGTGTATCATCGAAGCGGCGAGGCAACATTTAAGCTGAATGTTTCGGAAAAAGGCTCTTGGAGATTAACCGGCGATTCAGGTGAAGAGAGAAAATCTGTGCTAAATTTTCTTGGTAGATTTTTCTCTATGCATCTCAATCAGCTCTCAGTAAAATGCTCTTTGCAGCTCGCGCACATTTCTTTAGACATCTCGCAGGAAAATGTTCCTTGCATCTCTCACCCAAAACTGAACATCTCACAGAACAGAAGAATCCACTAGAGCAAAGAAAAATGCTACCCAGTCCCTCTGGCTCAGGAAGCCCGCAGCAGAGCAAAGTGCCCCATGATCTTTCTTTCTCTTTCACATCGCGGCTACTCAAAATTCACTCAAATCAGACTCCGCTACAGCCATCCCCACCGCAGCCCGCTGGTACAAATCGCTCGCCTCGCAAAACTTTCTGCTCTTCCTTTTTTTTCGCCTAAAATCTGATCAGATGATCTCTAGCCTGGTGCAAGCACCCAGGAAATCTCGGTTCTCCACCTCTGTGAGTTCATAGGCTTTCAAAAAAATCATAAAATTAAATCTTACCAATCCCGGAATTTATGTTATCTAATTGAGAAATGACACACCCATGAGGAAATCAAACACCAGAAAATCTGACAATGAATCCGAAATCATCTGTACACATACGTGAAAAAGTAGCCCCCCAACTAACAAGCGGAAATAAGCTCACGAGAATCCAATTACCCAAACCCCCACCCTGGCTTGAAGAAAAAAAACAACCGGACAAGAGCGCTTTCCGTTTCACACGCATTATCTAAAAGGACTCTACTGCTCCATTGTTAGTAGAAAAAAGGCTATAACCAATAAAACCAGATGTGTTTCCTTGCAACCGTCCTCTCGCCTTTGTTACAATTCCTACTCAAGAATAATGAGTTAATAAAACCTTAAGAGCTTAAGAAATACTTTTTTCCAGATTAAAATACACATGAATACAAATAAAAATATAGAATAATAATGACTGGAAACACATATTAATAATTGAAATTCGCGACATAACATATTCCCCCACGTACCAGAGAAAAAAAAATTTTGAGCATCAAAACTTTTTTTTTTTTCAAAACAAAACAAACAGCATTTCAAAATAGTACCCAGTTAAGTACCATACAAATAATCCATTCAAAATAGTTGTCACGGAGAGCAGTGATAAAAAAAATTAAAAAATTTACTTACAAAGCATTAAGTTTAACAAATTAAATTCAAAATTTATATGCAACTTATATAACCAATTAAACAGCAACAGGAGTGAAGTGTCATAAAATCCAATTGCAAAACAAGTTAATATAAGTACAAAAAACAAAAAAAAAAATCACAAGTGAGGGAAAATTACACCTTAACAATTCAATCAACCAACAGTGAAAAAAAAAAAAAAAAAAAAATCCTAAATGAATTAAACACTGAACTGAACGAGAAGCTGAAACAAACGGAGAACACCCCCAGGAACGGAAAAGAGCAACTTGACCAAAAAAAAAAATTAAGCCGAAAGAAACTAGAGTGCATCTAGAAGCAAAAGGGGGAAAAAATTTAGATAAACTTACTTGAAACAAGGAAATTAAATTCGGCCAGCCGAAAAAATCATTAAAAACAAAACACTATTGTGTCAAGAACTCAAACCGAAACTAAAAGAAATTCACACAAATGCAGACAACTCCTAGACCAAACCAGTGAAAATACTGAGAAAAACCTTTACTATTCTTTCAAGAAAATAAACTAACTCTTCAAAAAAATTGGAAACAAATTCATAAACAATTCAAGATCAAACCAAAAAAAAAAAAAAACAAATTCTGAAATAGCCAAAATGAATTCAACAAACAGAACTGAAGCAGGTTACACACAGAATTTACAAGTAAACAAGAAGGTGCCCAAAAGGTTGCCACAATTTTTAAAAGAAAACAATGCTGCACCAATGTTCTCAAAGTCTAGATCTGGAGAGTAATTAAGAAGATGAGAGTATGCATGATGCACTCTAGGTAGCAATGTAGCATGACACTTCACATCAAAACTACAAAATGCAAAAGCAGACAGAGGGAAGTGTTTACACAGAAAAAAAATCTCAACTCAAAATCTCAAATTCAATCTCACAAAACTCAATTCTATACTTTTCTTAAACCACTTCAAAACAAAACTCCTTGAAATACACTAAGCCTCAAGAGCAATCAGAAATTTTTCAGTAACCACACAGTATAACCAGAAACCAGAAAAGAAGAAGTTTTTGAAAGACCACCAACTTGAAAACAGAAACTCATTATAAAACTCAGTGGAGTTAATTACTCTTAAAATCCTAAAATCAAATCAAAATTCTTCTCAAAATCTCCACAACACTAAACTCACATAAGTAATTTCTAATTATACAAAATCAAGTTTAACTTCTCAAAACAAATTTTCACTTCCACTAGTATCAAAGTTTAAATTTCCAAAATACATTTCACATCCACTTTTAAAGTTACTACAACACTGCAACAAGTCAACCAAAAAAAAAAAAAAAAACTTAAATTGAAAACCAAACAAAAAAGCTATTAGCTCAAAATTGAAAACCAAAAAAAATCACTGTTAAAAACAATGGTTAGACCACTCACAATAACCTCATTATGAAACTACCATTAAAACCACTTGAAAAGCCAACAGTTAAGAGTAAGAATAATACCTTTTAACTACATTTCTAAAATTCCAAA